CCAACTGTGTCATCCATCAATGTACTGGGTTGTCTCATTAGTTTTTTATTTTAAATTTTTTACCGTATTAAGTCGTATATTTTTCAATCCTCGTTAGTTTTAGTCACTGTAGCTCTCAAACTACTCTGAGCACAATCCAACTCAAGAATGTTGTTTTTGCATATAGCTGATATATAGAAGAATATTCACAGCATCTCTGGCTGCTGAATTTTATCTCTCAGTTGATTCCATTTGCTATGATTTTCATCAGTTCGTGAAGATTTGAGCTTCAAATCTTCAGAAGCAAAGTGCTGCTGTTCAAATACTGCATTGTTATTACAAACATAATCAATTAGGACTAAGTCAGTCAGAACCGAAACCTTTATAATAATCATCCTAAACTGGTTACAATTGCTCCCGGAAACGTTGAAGCTAAGAAAAAAGCTATATCGTGCTATATGCTCTGGATAATTTTGAACCTTTTTTGAATTCCGCAGAAGAGTGCGGAAGCGGCTGTTTGCGAAACCGAAAGACTTTTGCTATTCTATATAGTGCTACATCGTATTTACATAACTCTACTCTCGTTAGTCTGGAGTATCATATGGCACAAGAAGCCGAACTCGCTTGCGGAATGACTGGTAGCGTTCTACATATATTCGTGTTTGTGTCAAGTTTGTTAGGTTGTGATTACTTCTCTCATAAATCAAACTGCTCTACAAGCAGGCACAAAGATTTTATAATTTCTAGGGTTCAATCAGTCTGCGGTACTCTGTAACATGTGTCTTTGAATTACGTTGACATCGAACCGACAGCATGAAAATTACGCTGAACCGTCTTGTCCTCTGCTTAGAAAATATGTATTAACTTGTCCCACTAAACTCCTTTTTGATAGATCAAGCAAGTTTTTGTCTTCCTAGCGATTAGGATACCATTTGATGGAAAGCAAGCTCTACAAAATGACAGTGTAGGTCTCCCTAACTCATAATCCAGCTAAAATTTGAAGCTAAAAATAAATCTTTTAGGCACCCTAATAATCGGATCTCCCTCCAAAAAATTACTACGGACCCCTCACTTGGTAATACAGTAGATACATAATAGTACCCAAAAATGTATTTATTGTTCTTTTTTCCTGGCTCAAAATTGCGAAATAAATGGCCCGAAAGCGCAAAAATGTCACTTTGTTGGGTTTTCGTACTAAACTTGGTATTTGGTGAATCCAAAGCACAAACACAGGTAAAATTCCATGGCTATACTTAGTAAGGCTTGTAGTATACAAGGACGATTGTGGGAGGGGCTGGGGGCGGGGTCTGCCTTTTTGGTCCATTTTTTTTCTCGCTTTCTAAGTGCGTAAAATCCAGTAAAGGCACAATTGAGTTACTATGTGTCTACTGTATATACAGGGTGTCCCAAAAAATATATCGAACGTTTGATATTTAATAACTCCCCTACATGAAAAGCTTCCGCAGATCTTTGAGTGTCATACGGTAGAGCTGGGTTCAACTTAGATTTACAGCATAGAGCGAATCACCGATTTTTCTTAGTTATTGTAGGATCACGGCAGGAATTTTATAATAATTTTAAGCTTCTGACAGGCGAGAACTGCTTCTAAAAGTTCCAAAAAAAGAAGTACGTTGAACTGAGGTTTTCGGAGATGCTGAATCTAATTACAAATTTTTTCGCTACCGTATTCCCCATCTTCCTACGGTATGCGCACTGTAACGCTAAATTTTTTTTCGAAAATTCACTGAATCAACGTTGCAGTTACGAACACGTTACAAAAAGCCAAAAAATTAGCGTTACAGTGCACATGTCTTGGGAAGATGAGAAGTACGGCAGCGGAAAACTTTGTAATTAGATTCAGCATCCCCGAAAACCTCAGTTTAACGTCCTTCGTTTTTTTGGAGTTTTTTAGAAGCAGTTCTCGCTTGTCGGAAGCTTAAAATTAGTCCAAAATTCCTACCGTATTCCTACAGTAACTAAGAGAAATCGGTGATTCGCTCTATACTGTAAATCTAGGTTAAACCCATCTCTACCGTATAACACTCAAAAATCCGCGAGAGCTTTCCATATAGAGAAGTTATTAAAGATCAAACGTTCGGTACATTTTTTTGGGACACCCTGTATAATGATCAAGCTTGAGGTGCGTAGGGTTATTTCTCCTCAAATGATAAATTTTCTTTTGATTTTGGCTCCAAACTTTACCCTGGATCACGACTTAAGCGGAAATTTGGTAGTCATTCCGCTTCGCTCTTTCAAAGGATATCCAGAGTCTGCTAGTAAAACAAAAACAGCTTGATTTATTTAGAAAATGAGTTTACTTTTGGAACAACCTAATAGTTTGTCTGGGTTCTTTTTCAAAATTCTCAGCGAAAGAAGTGCAAACGATTCTAGAGGCTCATTTTAGGATAAAACCGGTGACTTCTAAATGAGATAGAAGAACCCAAAGAGCGTCATAGAAACCGCCACCCTATCATTTGATCAAATATTTAGTAAATGTCTCAAGACAGTTTCGGAGACGAACTGTTTTGAGACATTCACATCACGAGTAAGGTACATAGCTTGTCTTTCAAAGTGGCCATACAATCAAAAATCTACTGAATAGACGCAAAATTACTTGTCGAATGATAGGAGAAGAAATAATGTTTCCTTAACCTTTATAAGTATTGTGGGTCATGAGAGTATTTAAAATTGGACCTTGAACGTAATTTATAACTACTGGTACTATATGCGGTACCTCGACTCCCCGTCCACTTTTGCAGGGAACCACTTTTGAGTCTGTTTGACAGTAAATTGATCCCGTCTCCGCGGGTGAGTAGAATTAATAGCCTGTTCGAAAAAAGATTCGGTGAATAGCGCCGGATTGCCAGAATCTCTCATCAAATTGCTAACAATAAGAGATGAATTTGGTGGCGTTTGCTATGCAGCCTGATTAAGGCTGTAGCAAAATGAGTTGATCTTATCAGGAGTTTCCTAAAAGATTGATCATCCTTGATTGGTGCATACTCATGTGCAGTCTTAACCAATTTGTATTCTTGAAAACTTGATCAAAGTTTTTCAGCTTTTACGCAAATCATCTACTTGTTGTATGAATTTTTCTCATAATCTAACTCCACTCTGCCACTGTACTGGTTGTAGAGTGGGTTGAAATGATTTTCGTTGTAATATGTATACAAAATTATATGAAGTAAGAGAGTAGTATTTGAATTAGTATGTGCGCTTTGCCATTAGTATCTCCGAGTCAAGTGACGAAGAAAAGAACTAACTAACCTTCTTGCATTAGATTAGCTAGAGATCGAGAAGAGGGATTTGCTTCGTGGATAAATGAAATAAGCCTTAACCTTTCAATTGATAGTTGTCTATGTAGAGAATTTTTTTTCGAAAATGTCAATTTAGCTGCTTATCTGCATACAGGTTATGAGTGACCCATATATAGAGACCGTTTGGAATTCATTCAGTCTCTTACTTACTAGAAGATTGCGGGAACAGTAAACGATGTGAAAGCACGCTTGCTAAGCCAGTTTCTAAAACTGCGATGTATGTTTTAGCACTCTAATAGGTTAGCGAATAATTTCTACTACGATTCACTTTTGTTGGCATTTTGACTAGGAAAATTTCTTTGCAAAAGCTTATACTGAAATTCACTCCATTATTAGGAGCAAATATTCTCGAGATTCATGGAGATTTTTGGGCGTTAGAGGCATCAGACCGCTATAGGAGAGACGGTGCCCGAATACGTGGCTGAGTAAGAGATTAGGGGCACATATGGAGGCAGGGAAAAAAGACAAAGAAAATTTTAATCTGCCAAAGATCATCGACCCCTCTCTTTTAACTACAAGTTACGGTTAGAATTTTTGAAGAGTTTTGTGCTAGTCAGAGCGCGTACTGTCCCAGGAATCATCCGAAAAATCTAGAAAATTTTGTTACCAGATTGATCGGTAAACCACACAGCAGTTAATCAGCAATTAGACTTAGCTAATTCCTCGAATGCTCTTCGCTTTATAGTAATGCCTTGCTAAATATTACGGCAGGTATACCATGACAGCGGTTTTCCCCGTGATTATCAAATGTTTGATTAGACTATCTACACTGCTTTTTAGAAACTTGTACAAAGCTACTTACTGGAATGAGCGGATACAAAGAGGTTTTTAGACTTTTTTGAATTTTCCTCAAAAGGCAGCCGATTTACAACAACAACATTCTGCCTCTGTTACATACTTTCTGACATTATCCTACCGGATGATCGAACGTTGAAGGCATTTTATTGAGACACCTGCTTTCGCTTATCATTGTATAATCACATATTCGCGAATAAGAGATTTCTTTAATGCACAACCATTCTGGAGCATTACCGATTTTTTTCATGCTGAGCTGCTCCTTCCTCAAATTTTCATCATGACATTTATCAGCTGCTCTAGGTCTACTCAGACAGATCACCGGAACTTCCGCAGGACAAGCCAAATTTGCAGAAGTTCCGCAGGATTTTGTTCACTATTGCAAAAATGAAAACGTTGAAAATCGGAACTTCCGCAGGATTTTCATGCCAAACTGGTTGAAAACCGGAACTTCCGCAGGTGACCCGGCGGAACTTCCGCAAGCGCTCTGCGGAAGTTCCGGTCATTTGTCTGAGTAGTCAAGAAAATGGAGAAAATGATGTGGTGCGTCTTCGCTGCACTTTCCCCGATTTCCTTTGCATTTTTTATCCGCAACCGCTCCAGCCCATTCCATCATTCCATTATTTGCTGTTCTACTCAGTAAATCTAATTCAGATCAGGTTTAAGAGTGCATTGATCGAAACGGCAGCCGTTAAGCAAACAGAAACGACTTTTGCCAAAAGCAATGTTCGGAATTCCACAGCGATACTTTCGTTACCACGTCGCTCGGTTGCCGCTACTAACAGAATTGCATTAGACGTAGAAGCTTTCAAACTCTTTGTTTGTAATTGAATCGCTGTTGACGCATTTTCTCGATGTGATGACGTCATTTGAGTTTGCAAAAAATCGAATCTGCTTTTAAACTTTTGCAGATCAACCGGTTCAACGGACCAACACATGAATGAAGGAGACAACCCGTGGATCGACGCAGCAGATTCGGACGACTTCAGAAGTGCCGTATCGGAAAATTCATCTTTCTCGATGGGCAACCGAATGCGCGCCACATCACGCACCAATCCCCATGTGAGTGTGTTTTTTAGGGGATTATGTTTCCTTGTGCTTCCCATTCATCAGACTGCATTCGGGCTTCTGCGACGTGTTTTTATGCAGCATCGGGTGGGTGGTGGGATGTGTTTGTTCTGGCAAATGTTTGATGAATCAGGATGCATAATAGGCGCGTTGCATGTTCCGTATGCATTCTGCAGCGTCGTCACTTCACACTTCGATTCCTTCATTTCTTGCCTGCTAGCTTGTCCGACAATGTTGCAAAGCTACAACTTTCTTCGTACTTAACTATCGCAGAAACCTGTTGAAAGAAAATATATACTTCAATTCTACTTACTGTACTTTATATCTTCAACAAAAATGTCTAAAAAGCGGTAAATGTCGCATTGGTCAACTTGTGGTTTGACTTTCTCTAAATAGCTTGCGAACAAATTTATTTATCTATTTATGTAATCCGCTCGTAGGCGTGCCAAACAAAAAAAAGCAATTGGATTAAGAACATGACTGAATTTACCAAAAATTACTGCAGTTTCCGGTAGAGAAATCGAAAAAGTCTCCTTCCAGGGATGATCAGGTCGCTCTCCTTGCAGAAGGAAGCCTCTCACCGAGATCCTGGACCCAAAGTCCCGGACGCATCATCATTTCTTAGTTTTTTTTTACCAACGTTGATAATCAGTACAAGTGATTAAGAAAGGCTTATTTATTTGTTTTCAATGGCTTATGCAATATCTATTCGATTACTGTCTTCCTAATTTCAACAGTCTACATAACTGCATCAATTTTGCGAACTAGCGCTGAAAACGCCATTGTAAAACACCTTTTTTTACCTTTTGCCATCTTTTTGTAAGGGGGGGGGGGTGAGGTTTTATAGCATTACTATTAGGGTTCTCATAATTTTTTACCGTTTTTGCCCTAGACGTCAGCATTTTTCGAGAACTGGGGCACCTATAAAAGGTACGAATACTAGGCTGTTGCATAAGTTCTGTCCGATTTTTTTGCCTCATGTTTGAAGCAGCTGTTCTAAGACAATTTCATCTCTAATTCGATACGGTTGGTATCATTGAAAAGTGCTTTCCTTGCGCTTTCTAAAGCATACCAGAATTCAATAAAATTCTTAGTGTACGGAGATCACAGACCTAAAATCTCTAAGTGGCCGAGGTACGTTCTATCCCTAGAAATATGTCCTTGCGAGGATATCTCCACAATGCGCCCTTCAAGTCAGGTTCTTTCATTGGCTTCGGAATAAGGGTATGGAATGCTAGTATATGCAGAAGTTCGGTCCCATGAAGAATACGTCTTGCTAGTGAAATTTATCCTCGAACATAAATCTTTGGTATAGATGTTTTACAAGCAATAACTTTCTGCGAATAGAAGTAATCGACAAGCTCAAAGTTGGAGGTGCTAGGGCAAAGCAGGAGCTAACAGGGCTCATCCACCAATTCCTTTTCGGCGCTCATGTCAGTTGTAAAACGTTCGTAGTTCATAAATAGGCATGCACACATGTGCTGAAGCGAGGTCAAAAAGTGGCTAATTTTTTGTTCGGTCAAGAAAATCTCTCGGCAGCGCAAACCCTATGGGCTCTTTTATGTTGCATAATAATCTACGAAAATTTCTCTATCCATCCATTATTAGAAAAGATGCCTATCAATTTTCATAAGGGAGCGTTACCATGTCAAAAAAGACAGATTCGAAGAAAAACGCTGCGAAGTTTTTGCATTCTTGGTTCTTCCTTAACAAAGATTTGCGCAGATCTCAATATGCATTTTTTAGCCAAGGGACTGCTCAACACATAGAAACTAAGACCTTGGAAAAAAGTTGACTCTGAAAGAAGTTATGACATTTTAAACTCAAAAATTCAAATCGGACAGAACTTATGCAACAGCCTAGTACATGGTCGTACTTCAGTATGTATGAGCTATATGATCAAGTGTGTGGGAGGAGCTCAGGACTACTAGGGGCGGGGTTTGATTTTGCTCTATTCACTTTTTTCTTCATCTTTAGCCGTGAAAAAAAAAACGAAAAGTTATTCAATCTTCGATGTGTAAAGCATATAGGATAAGTGGGGAATTTTTAAGATTTTTTGGGGCCGAGATGCGATTTTTTACGGTAAAGTTCTTTTTGTGTGCTCATATTTCAGCTCGAAACTTCACGTAGAATACTAATTGGGCAGACTCTTGACAGTCAGCTTGTAGATCTTGCTTTGCTCTGTCGAATGATTACTTAAGCCACATCAGTTGATGGAAAGATAAAAAGACGATGGCTGTAGTAAAAACGGTGAAGAAATCATGAGACACTGTAATACGTAAACTGACGGCGTTCTATCCGTTGCCCTGCGCGTGACCTACTACAAAACCTAGAGCCGAAGAAACTTGCACGTTTACACTAACGTGCACCTCCCAACGCCTCCGCTTGACGCTGTCACCCATACATCGAATACGTATCAAAAACCGCGCGATTAGATTATGGTTGATACACTGAATGCTATGAAGAACACACACAAAAATGAAAGTAATACTCCTGAAACAACTACCGGATATTCTACTTATAACTAACACGAGTATAGTAAACACGAGGCGAGCTGTAAGTATGCATTTTCTGAATATGCTTATTCGCTGTTCATCTATGGAGTGTAAAGCGCACTTTGAGTTTGTTGGAATTTATTCATCTTGGATGCTCAATACCTGCCAAAACATGCAAATGCAAAACATGGAATAGCAAAAGATCAAAGAAAAAGTAGTTGAAGTTTAGTCCCTAGAAGGCTATAATGAAGCCAAGATCGGCGGTAATCTTGTATGTATGATACCAGTGGCCGTATTCATCAACGAACCCTGAGGGTTAAGCTAAACCTCCAGGGTATCAACCATAGGCTAGGGTTTACCACGGAACGCGATCTACCCGTATCGATCAACAAATCTGTGGCCGTATTCATCAACCCTGAGGGTTAAACTAACCCTGGAGGGTTAAGGCGTCAGTTACGCGTGCGCTGTGCAAACTCACATCACAGAATAAGTACAGGCTAAATTCACTTTATACGTCTATTCTTTCACTAATAGTAGTATAGTCAAAGAATAAGCTTCTAACACTAGTTTTTATAATACATCTCTAGCATACTTGTGCAGCATCGAATCTTACAGCGTGAGTTTAGTTTCATGTGTGCAATTGTGCAGTGTAAGTCCTACTTTTGCGCAGTTCGTTTTATACCGGGCTTGTGCTACTCCTTTAGGGGTCAATGCGTGTTATTATAGAGGGGTTCTTCTGTTTTGGCACTTGTCAGAGTGGAATGCCATTTTTCCTCGTCGCATTCATTTGTCACCAAAGCTAGAATTCTTTTTCTCGCAAAGTCAGTGTTTTATGTACTTCGAATATGAACATAAAACGAAGTCGAAACTAAATACTATAACAACAACCAATACTAAATGCCACAATACTCATTGATCGTTTTCCATAAACTGTTAGATGCGAGTAAACGTTCGTATGAAGTGTCAAGGTAGAGTTAAACTTGCTCTGAGCTAGGGTTAAATTAACCCTGATGAATCATGTAAGTTTAACCCTCCAGGGTTAGTTTAACCCTCACGGTTCGTTGATGAATACGGGTTAGTCGCTTTCGGGGTAAAATTAACCCTCAAGGTTAGATTTAACCCTCAGGGTTAAGCCTACCCTGTGTTTCATGAATACGAGTTAAACGCTTTCCAGGGTTAAACTAACCCTCCAGGGTTAGTTTAACCCTCGGGGTTCGTTGATGAATACGGCCACAGGATGTTTTCGGTCAAAAGCCTAGCTCTATAAAAAGGTTCTGATCGAATAACCAGTAGCTATACTCCCCCTCCCCAACCTCGCCGCAAAAACGGTTTTATTGTATTATCGGCTCCCCAGATTTGTGTGGGGGCGGGTTGCGGACTTTCGCTGATTACAAAGATAAACTTGTTATATCTCTACGTTACAGCATTGTTTTTGGTACTCTCTCATTAGCTTTATCCTCATAATCAGGGGAAGCCCGCAACCCGTCTCCACACGATTCTGGGAGCCGATCATATGCTTGTCTTTTCATCTCTGGCTGAATACTTGTACGAATTCTGGCTACTGTAATTATGTTATGTATTAGGCTCAGGGCTCGGCACGAGCTGGCACCAGGGAAATTTCAAAACGAAGTCCCGTTTGATAATGAAAATTTCGTACGAAGTCCCTTTTGACCTGTTTTGAAAACCCGTGATCATTTTTATATTATGTAAAAAATGTAGTAGTGTTCATTTCTGATTCATGAAAGAACTTTTCACAACTTTCTGAGCTTTTTAAGTGGTCGAATCACATATTGAGAAGCAGAAAAAGCCGATTTTTCGACTGCGGAGCGGGCCAAGTGGTTTTCAAATTGCTATAAAACGCTGAAAAGAGAACATTATGAGACTGTTTCTTCTCCGTATGTAATCTTTTACAGTGTAGATACATTTTATGTAAAAAAGTATGAAAACTTATGTGAGCAAAGTGTCGGTGCCAGCTCAGCTGGCACCCAGCTGGCACGGTGCCAGCTAATTCAGAAAAAAGTTGGGCACAGCTTTCATTCACATAAGTTTTCATAAATTTTTGGCCCGTAGTTCCGGTCCACCAACGCGCATGCACACACCAAATTTAGTGTCATACTATTGCGTTTTGGCTGAAAACAACGCCTTTGTTTGTTGATGGACAGCTTGCCAATGGCATGCCGGTGGCATGCCGGCGGCATTTTTGCGGCAGTTCTCTGCCTCGGCCCCTGTGGAAACGATATCCCCTTTGCTTTCCGCCCTAAAAACGATATCCAGCTTGACCCGGTGCCAGCTGTGCTGAGCCCTGATTAGGCTACTAGAACATTAATCTTGTGTGCTATGTGATTAAGAATTTGATCAAATAACCAATGCTATTTGTTTCAGAAAAGCGTACTATGACAGCAACCTATGTCAACCGGATCCCCTAGTGCGAATTTCAAACCTTTCTAGCAAAAAATAGTCACAAACTGAACATCCATCCGACAAAAATACATTTTCACA